ATATAATGCCGCTCGACTGATTCAGAGTGAGACCTCTGCTGCCAAACCAGAGCTGGTCATAAGCACACTGCCAAGGTACGGAAACTTCTCCACTCTCTCCACAACCGGCCCCATCACTCATGAGCAGTGGATCGAGGGGAGCATTCGATCACATAAAATACCCAGGCAGGTACTTTGTTTTCGTGGGGCTGATGGTAAGGCCCCATCTCTTTGTGGCACACTCGAAGTTCAGCAGTAGCATATTCTCTGTGGGCAGCAATTACCAAATCATCTGCATACGTAGCATGGTTGGTCAATAAGGAGCTATCTACTTATTGGCTATCTCTTGACCGCACCCGAGCATCGATCAGCCTCCCATTGTATCTGTACCAGATGGAAATTTCACGGGTACATAAATGGAAAGTCTTTGGAACAAAACACTCAAAAAATATGTTCAATAATGTAGTGGCCAGATGACATCCATGTTGCACCCCAAGGTGAACAGGGACTGGCTCTGACTCCCTGCCCTACAGCTTCACCCGAGCATGCCCACCATCACGAAGGCCCTTAATGATCATGAGAAAGAGGGTCAGGGACCCCGAAAGCCCGAAAAATAACCAAGAGTCCTGGCCTATTGATGGTATCATCGCCCATGACCAAGTCAATAAAGCAGAGCTGTAGGTCCTGTTGGAATTCCCTACGCCGTTGCTGTAGCAGACGGACAGAGAATATGACATCTGTGAAGGACAGACCTGGTTTGAGGTCCTGTTGGAATTCCCTACGCCGTTGCTGTAGCAAACGGACAGAGAAGATGACATCTATGGAGGACAGACCTGGTGTGAGATCCTGTTGGAATTCCCTAGGCCGTTGCTGTAGCAGACGGACAGAGAAGATGACATCTGTGAAGGACAGACCTGGTGTGAGGTCCTGTTGGAATTCCCTACGCCGTTGCTGTAGCAAACGGACAGAGAAGATGACATCTATGGAGGACAGACCTGGTGTGAGGTCCTGTTGGAATTCCCTACGCCGTTGCTGTAGCAGACGGACAGATACTATGACATCTGTGGAGGACAGACCTGGTGTCAACCCCCATTGGAGCCCCGCAAATCTCTGCGCGTTGCCTGGCAAGGTGGAGGGGGGATGGCGATGTTGGGGGTGCCGGTGGTGGCACGAGCGAAGTTGGTATGGGGCCCTGGTGCAAGGAATTAAATGCGGTGGGCGCCGGTTGGAGGGGGGGGGGCAGTGCAGTTCAACCGCCTGCGCACTCGCCAGCTGTACCGCAGCTCGGCGCGTCGTCCCGTGGGGGGAGGCGCGTGAAAAAATATCGGAACCGAGCGCGGGGGGAAGCTGGAGTCGCGTGTTTGCGCAGAAGGGTGATTTGTAAAAACAAAAAACAGGCCATCATGGAACGGTCCCGAGCGGGCATCAGGCCCGGGTCGTGTTTTGCCGGGGACGAGGATGCGGTCTCGGCTTCCTGAGCAGCGGCGTCGCTCCCCACCTTCCCTCCAGCCCCCACTTCCACACCCCCCCCCGCTCCGCCCCCCCCCAATATTCCCCACCTCGCGATGTTGTTTCTCTTTCAGAGGTCGCACAAGCGGTCACTGTTGTGCCAACGTCAACTGTGGAGAGAGGCCCGCGCACGGAGAGTTGACAGCTCACTCACACAGACCCCCTACGCTAGCACAGGCAAAGGTTCCCGGTGTAGCCTTAACAGATTGTAGGAGCAAGTGCTGTTAGCGAGCACCAATGAAGGCCCGCACGGCACACGAGGGGGTGGGTGGCCAGCACCACGCCCGGCCGCCTTTGTCTCCTCAGTGGCGATGTTTACATACCGCACCAGGTACTCATTTGAGACTGAGTCGACCTAGGGGAGGCTCCCCATACCAGTCATCACACACACTCACTCACACACTCACTCACACACACTCACACACTCACACACTCACTCACATACTCACTCACACACTCACACACTCACTCACATACTCACACACACACTCACACACACTCACTCACACACTCACTCACATACACACACACACTCACTCACACACTCACACACACTTACACTCACTCACATTCTCACTCACATACCCACACACACTCTCACACACACTCACTCACTCACACACACTCACTCACACACTCACTCACACACACTTACACACACACACTCAAACACACTCACTCACTCACTCACACACACTCACACACACTCACTCACACACACTCACACACTCACTCACACACACTACACACACTCACTCAAACACACTCACTCACTCACACACACTCACTCACTCACACACACTTACACACACTCACACACACTCACTCACACACTCACACACACACTCACACACACTTACACACTCTCACACACACTCACTCACACACTCACACACACACTCACTCACATACTCACTCACACACTCACTCACACACTCACTCACACACTCACTCACACACTCACTCACTCACTCACACACTCACTCACTCACACACACACTCACACACACACTTACACTCACTCACTCACATTCTCACACACACTCTCACACACACTAACTCACACTAACTCACACACTCACTCACATACCCACACACACTCTCACACACTCTCACTCACACACACTCACACACTCACTCACACACTTACACACACTTACACACACTCACTCACACACTCACTTACACACTCACACACACTCACACACTCTCATACACTCACTTACACACTCACACACACTCACACACTCTCATACACTCACACTCACACACACTCACACACTCACTCACACACACTCACACACACTCACTCACACTCACACACACTCACACACTCACACACTCACTCACTCACACACACTCACACACACACTCACACACTCACACACACACACTCACACACACACACTCACACACACTCACACACTCACTCACACACACTCACTCTCACACACACTCACACATACTCACTCACACACACACTCACACACACTCACACACTTTCACTCAATCACTCCGACCCACTCTCCCGCCACCAGGGCATCGCCGCTGGGTCGGCGTTCAGGTGGCTCCACTCGCGTCCCCCCCCTCTCCCTGCGCGCCCCTCCCCCCTCGCCCCAACCGCTCAGGTGCGAGTCCGAGTCCGCGAGCCACGTGACGCCTCCACCTGCACCCCGTCACCCCCCCCCCCCCCCCCGCGGAACGACGTCGCATATCCGACCTCGCCGCTTAACCGCTCGTTGTTTGGTGGCTGTCGTCTCTCTGATCACACCGACTCGCGGTGCATCATTGAATCTCATGGGATTTACGCGATCGTCTGTGCAGCAGCGGGACTCTTCCCCTAGAACGATTCGGCATCAAATGAATGCCTGGTAACGGTGCGTAAGTGAAAGGTGGAGGGGGGGGAGATGAAGAGTGGGGAGACAAAGGCGGCCGGGCGTGGTAGCTGACCGCACGGCCCATCGCGTGGTCGTTCCGGCCTTAATTGGTGCTTGTTGAAACAGCACGTGACTGAAGCGTCTGTATGTGTACATGGGGAGGTGTGCGCGTGTGTTTGCGGTGCTGGGGAGCGGTGGTGCAGCGGTTAGCGCGCCGCGCTACGAACCCGGCGACTCGAGGTCGATTACTGCCCACGGCCAACACCCAGTGACCATTATCTGCACCGCTCCTGCACCTCCCCTAGGTCGACTCAGCCTCTTATGAGTACCTGGTGCGGTGTGTTAACATCGCCACTGGGGAGACAAAGGTGGTCGGGCGTAGTGCTGGCCACCTTGCGCACCGTGCGAGCCTTCAAGGGTGCTCGCTAACAGCACTTGCCCCACGTGTCTGTCAAGCCTACAGGGGGGATCTTTGTCATTGTGTGTGTAACCTCCCCTAACCCCCCTCCTCCTCCACCCCCTCCACCCCCCTCCACCTTATAACCGCCCCACTGCAGAGTCGAGCGCGCAAAGTGGAGCGGAGTGCGGACAGGAGACGCGGAGACACACAGAGACACCACGAGGCGACGTTGGGAAGACACGGGGAGACACGGGGAGACACGGGGGACACGGAGACAAAGGCGACGGCGAAGGCGCAAGGAGGCAGCATCGTGAAGACACCAGAGGCACCTGGAGACATTCGGGAGGAGCACGGGGACGCGAGGACAACTGTGGAAGTCGCCAAACAAGCCACGAGGAGATACGGGAAGACGCCGGAGACGACACGGAGAGACAAGGAGACACGTGGGGTCGCGAGGAAGACACGTGGAGTCGCCGGTTAATCGCTCCGCTCGACTGACACCCGAGTGACTGAAGACGTCACCGCTCACGAGGGCTCCCGTTGTCACAGGGACCCCGGTTCGATCCCCCTCGACGGGTTCCCCGCGGAGCGTCGAGGAAGAGGGACGGGAGGCGTGGAGCGTGCGGGTCTCTGAGCCGAGGAGTTCGTGTGAGGCGCGCCGGGAGGGAGCTTGCAAGGCGCAGTCGCATCTCCAAACCCCGGGACCTCCAGCCGGGAATCTCTCTCTTTCTCTCTCTCGTCGAGGACTTTCCCCAGAAGCCAGCACTTAGAACCCGGGACTCGAACCCGGGAATTCCGAACCTGGGGAAACTCCACCCAGGACTCTGCCCCCAAAGGCAACGTCGGCAGTGAGGAGCGGGCGAGGGAGTGGATCGGCGGGATCAAGGAGTAGGGCGAGAGAGGAGAGTGGTGGGGGCGAGGAGTAAGTGGGGGGGGGGGGGCGAGAGAGGAGGAGATGTGATTGAGGAGCACAAAGTGGGGATTAGCGAGGGGGGAAAGGAGTGGGGGGGGGGGGGCATAGAGCCAAGCCGACGAGAGGGGATAAGGGAGGTGGGATCAGGGAGAGGGAATCAGGAAAAGGGGATCAAGGAGGGGGGATCAGGGAGAGGGGATCAGAGAGAAGGGGGATCAGGGAAAGGGGATCAGGGAGAGGAGATCAGGGAGAGGGGATCCGGGAGAGGGGGGATTAGGGAAGAGGGGATCGGGTAAGAGGGGGGATCAGGGAGAGGGGGGATCAGAGAGGGGGGGTCAGGGAAGAGGGGGGATGGCCGCGCCGACCCCCGCGGGGTCTCCCCGTCCCAGGAGGGGCCTCCCACCGGGGTGCCTGTAGGGGACTCTGTAGGGGACTCTGTGCCAACATGAGCAGCGAGCGGAGGCCGCGGCTGATGCTGCTGCTGCTGCTGCTCTTCACTGGGGTGGCAACCGACCACCACCACCAGCAGCAGCAGCACCATCATCGTCATCAGCACCATCAGCATCAGCAGCAGCACCATCAGCACCATCATCAGCACCACCATCAGCATGAGGGCGGCGAGCTGGCTGCCCGCATGCGCGCCCTCTACGAGCGGTGCCGCCGCGAGGGAGGAGCGCGAATCCGCGGCAACAGCGTGCGGAGCATCGCGGCACTGAGCCCAGGCGAGACGTGACCCCCACTCACTCACTCACCACGTGACCCTCATCCTCTCGCTCACCACGTGACACCCACTCACTCACCACGTGACCCCCACTCACTCACCACGTGACCCCCACTCACTCACTCACCACGTGACACCCACTCACTCACCACGTGACCCCCACCCCCTCGCTCACCACGTGACCCCCACTCACTCACTCACTCACCACGTGACCCCCACTTACTCAATCACTCACCACGCGACCCTCATCCTCTCACTCACCACGTGACCCCCACTCACTCACTCACCACTTGACCCTCATCCTCTCGCTCACCACGTGACACCCACTCACTCACTCACCACGTGACCCTCATCCTCTCGCTCACCACGTGACCCCCACTTACTCACTCACTCACCACGCGACCCTCATCCTCTCACTCACCACGTGACACCCACTCACTCACTCACCACGTGACCCTCATCCTCTCACTCACCACGTGACCCCCACCCCCTCGCTCACCACGTGACCCCCACTCACTCATCACGTGACCCTCATCCTCTCACTCACCACGTGACACCCACTCACTCACTCACCACGTGACCCCCACTCACTCACTCACTCACCACGTGACACTCACTCCCCACGTGACCCACTCACTCACCACGTGACCCACTCACTCACCACGTGACCCTCACCCCCTCGCTCACCACGTGACCCCCACCCCTCACTCACCACGTGACGTGCCCTCCCTGTCCTGTCCTCACATCACCACCGTCCTGCGCGGATGTGATGGTGATGATGATCATGATGACCACATCAATCATCATGAGTTACAAATAACATCTTCATCATCATCAGCAGCAGCATTATCTAAATCGCCACCTAACACGCGCGCCGAAGGTGGGAAGGTTTTGAGGAGGGGAGGGGTGAAGCGTCCCCCCGCCCCCCCCCCCTTTTGACCCCCCCCAACCCCGTATGCCACGAATTCGCATAAATCCTCACCGAGTCTCGAGGCACATGTGCAGGAGGGTCTTGATCCCTCGAGATGTTTGACCGATTCCGTTATAACCTCGCTCAATAAATAAAAGAACGCGTTAAACTCTTGCCTATTGCGACTTAGCTGATAGTGCTGGGTGTTGCTGGCCGCTTGACGTTTTTTTTTTGGACGTTTCGGCCTGTGCCCCGCATTTGCGTGTAACCAAATAGAGTCAATGAATTCACGTGAATATCTCCATGAGTGATGGATGAGCGTCTGACTCCGCGTGGGAGGAAGCCGTAGAAGTTTATTTGAGTTTAACATCAAACCACAGCGGCTCACTGCTTTACACGAGTGTGTGTGTGTGGGGGGAGGGGGGGGTCACACTCACATAGCTACGGGCAGCACACACGGGTTCACGATCCCGCTTGCTGTACTCACCTGCCACGCCGCAGCCGCACAGGCGCGCCGAGTCGCAATGCATCTGGCCAATAGGGCTGGCAAGGTGTCATCCAGACTCGTCTAGACCCGGTCGTGCAAGGGCTGGGTTAGTCGATGAGACTGGGAATGACGCATTTCTCCACACTGTAATCCTCTGGACTAGACAGCGCTAGAGTTGGCTGGACCGGATTTCCCGAGACGAAATTGCTTTCGACGTCATTGCTACAGACCTCACATCTCTAGACTGTATGGCTATAGACCTCATATATCTAGACTGTACTGCTATAGACTGCTCATCTCTAGACTGCACTGCTATAGGCCTCACATCTCTAGACTGTACTGCTATAGACTTCACATATCTAGACTGTATCGCTATAGACCGCTCATCTCTAGACTGTACTGCTATGGACCGTGCATCTCTAGACTGTACTGCTGTAGACCTCACATCTCTAGACTGTATCGCTATAGACTGTACTGCTGTATCTCTAGACTGTACTGCTGTAGACCTCACATCTCTAGACTGTATCGCTATAGACTTCACATCTCTAGACTGTATCGCTATAGACTTCACATCTCTAGACTGTACTGCCCGTGCCCAGCCGAGTCGCCCGGGCGGGTTGGGACGCTGGGACACCTCTCGCCCCGGGCTCCCCGCGTGGCTCCGCGTGGCGCGCCTTCCCGCAGGGCTCCTACACCTGGGTAGAGCGCGCACCTGGCAGGGTGGGGGCCTTGGGGGGGAGAGGAGCGCCCCCCACCCCCTCCCCCAATCCCCCCCCCTTCAATCGAGCCGCACGGTGGAGTTTGAAAGCGCGACTCTGAGTTCGATCCCATTCCGTGTGTTGCACGGAAGCGCACGTGCAGTTCGGAAAGTGGATTCGGGCAGATCTCATCCGGGCACTGGTGGTGGCGATGCTGCACCTGGCTGCCTGTGATGCAGCGCTGCAGGAGGCAGCGGCAGCATCAGCAGCAGCAGCGAGGGGTTGGTGGAACGCACAAAGATGTTGGCGAAATATAGTAGTAGGTTTTTACCCTTTAAACTGGTACAAAACTGACACGTTTATACAAGGCATCATGTTTGTAATAACCACAACACAAGCAGTCAAAATGCAAACAAAAAGAAACAACTCTGATAATGATAATGATATGCACTGTCCTTGAAGTTGATTGGTCCACACCCGAGACAGCTTTCCTTAGAGCCTAGGCTTTCCTTAGAGCCTAGCCTTTCTTTTTGTTTGCATTTTGACTGCTTGTGTTGTGGTTATTGCAAACATGATGCCTTGTATAAAGGTGTCAGTTTTGTACCAGTTTAAAGGGTAAAAACCTACTACTATATTTTGCCACTGGTAAAGGAGGTCTCATAGTGTATGTTGGCGAAACTGTCTTTCCATGGGCGTCGAGGTGGAGCGATTACCCCAGCACGCCAGCAGACAAATGTGCAAATCCACCTGCTCCGTCGGTATGGGATAGAGTGTTGCCCCCTCGCACGCCCGGGGCATCTCCGCGCGCGCTGGTTTCATCCCACAGACGCTCATTAGTTAATTCTAGATTTGAAGCTTTCGTGACTGCAAGGATTCATATCCTTAGTTTTTTCGGTAAAGTCACGTAGGTAAAAAAAAAATGAAATAAAATGTATTTTATTTTATAAATTTTAATTACATTTTTTTTACCTACGTGACTTTACCGAAAAAACGAAGATTACTCATTAGTTAGCCGATAACGTCTTCGTATACATAGGACCGCAGAGATTGGACAAGTGTTGGTAGTGCCGGCTCCTCACAGCGTGGCTACTGCCTTCCTGCTCCTCGTCTGGACAACTGTGAACAGAAATTGCTTCATAGCTCATCGGATTCTTCCAGAATAAATTAATATTCTGATTCTGTGGTTCCCCCTCCTCCTCCTCCTGGCGCCTCTAAGTCGTCCTCTCTCTCTCTCTCTCTCTCGTTCTCTACGAGATCGAGATGTGCGGTGTGCGCTTTATACGCTGATATTAAGGCGTAGTGCAGTCCGGCAATTGGGTTCGTCAGTCCGTCTGCATTCACTCACCCACTCACTCGCCAATCAATCACCCACTCACTCACTCACTCACCCACTCACTCACCCACTCACTCATCCACTCACTCGCCCACTCACTCACCAAACAATCACCCACTCACTCACTCACCCACTCACTCACTCACCCACTCACCCACTCACTCACCCACTCACTCACCCACTCACTCACCCGCTCACACACCCACCCACTCGCCAAACAATCACCCACTCACTCACCCACTCACTCACCCACTCGCCCACTCACCCACTCACTCACCCACTCACCCACTCACCCACTCACTCACCCACTCACTCGCCAATCAATCACTCACTCACCCACTCACTCACTAACCCGCTCACTCGCCCAGTCACTCGCAAAACAATCACCCACTCACTCACCTACTCACTCACCTACTCACCCACTCACTCACCCACTCACTCACCCACTCACTCACTCACCCACTTACTCACCCACTCACTCACCCATCCATCCACCCGCTCACGTCACTCCTCATCCTGCTGCTTCGCTCTGCCACCATCGTCTCTTCTCCAAAGTTCTTAAAACAACAAGTTGTCAATGCGCTCGCTCGAGCGCATTGACAACTTGAACAGTGCCGTTTGTTGCTGACCGCTTGGCGATTCGAGTCCTACCTGCCTGCGTGCCCGACAACCGTGTATTTCTAAACAAACAAAATCAAGCGCCTCGCCTCCTCTCTTCGCCACCGCGGTCACGTGGCGCCCCCTGGCGTGCAGTTTGGGGATCGCGTGGCGCGGAGTGATGGGGGCACTGGGTCGGGGGGGGGGGGGTCACCCCGACACAGGGAGGTCAAGCGCGACCCGTTTGCGACCCCTTTCACACTCTAGACCCCTCCTATCCCCTCGCTTGACCCAGACTCGTATCATTCTTGGAGTTGGCCAAACATCCGAGTATAGGACCTCATCCCCCCGTGACCCGCGTCTCCCTCTCTAACCCCCCCCAATTATGACCTCATCCCCCCATGACCCCCGTGGCCCCCCGTGACCCGCGTCTCCCTCTCTAACCCCCCCAATTATGACCTCATCCCCCCATGACCCCCGTGGCCCCCCGTAACCGTGTATCCCTCTCTCACCCCCCCCCCCATGATGACCTCATCTCCCCGTGACCCACGTCTCCCTCTCTCACCCACCCCCCCCATGATGACCTCATCTCCCCGTGACCCCCGCAGCCCCCCGTAACCCGCGTCTCTCCCTCTCTCACCCCCCACCCCCCCGCTCCCCTCCCCCAGGAGACTCGCCGCCAGGACCCCACTTCTCCTTCAACCTCTCCCTCATCCCCGCGTCCGAGTCTCTCATCGCCGCGTCTCTCCACTTCCCCCCGGGCGCGCCGAGTCGTCAGGGACGTGGGCCCCAGCGCGTCTCCGTGTCCCTGTGGGGATCGGCGCACCCCCGCGGCGACCCCGGCGCGGGCTCCCCTCGCCGTGCGTCATTCTCGTTCATCCCCTCGAGCTACGCGCACTGGCACGCGCGCGACGTCACGGCGCCGCTGGGCGAGGCGCGCTCCCGAGGGATGCCCTGGCTCCACGCGGACATCCGCACGGGTCCCAGGCGTGCCGACGAGGTCCCTTACCTCCTCGTCTTCGCGTTCGACTCGGCCCTGGCAGGGGACGGCGGCGTCGCGAGCGTCCTGCAGCTGCGGGCTCTGCACCAGGCGCGCGGGGGGTCTGCCGGGTCGCGGGGACCGGACCCCCTCGCCGATGGGGACGATGAGCAGGGCGGGTCGGACAGGGGAGCCGGGGTCGAGGTTGAGTCCGAGGGGGACGTTGGAGGAGCGGTGCGGCAGAGGCGCGACGCGTCGCTGCGGACAAATGAACTGCCCGGGTCGCGTCTCCTGGCTCCCCCCCCTTCCTTCGAGGACGGTGATGATGGTCATGGTGATGATGAGGACGATGGCAGTGATGGTGATGACGATGAAGAGATGGCACAGGAAAGAAGATCATCATCAGCATCAGCATCATCATCATCAGCATCATATTCACCATCTTCATCAGCAGCAGCATCATCGTCATCCCAGCGCAGATCTCGACCCAGAGACGCGCAGAGGCAGAGGGATCACGGAGGAGCCAACAGCAGCAGTCGAAGTAACAGCAGCAGCCACAGCGGCGGCGGCGGCGGCGGCCGGGGTCGTGGGAAGACCGAGGCGGAACGGAGGCGCAGAGCGGACAAGCGGCGTCCCCGGGCGGGGGTCACGCGGTGGGGGGGGGCCCTCCCCCCCTCACGGCGTGCGCACGACGCCACCTCACGGTGGACTTTGCCGACATCGGCTGGGACAAGTGGATCATCTCCCCCAAGGCGTACCTCGCGCACTACTGCGCCGGCACCTGCGACTTCCCCATGTCCAAGGTACGGGAGGAGGCATCGAGGCAGCGGTGACTAGGAGATGTTAGCTACCTCGCCTGGTATGCAGGGGGTCGTGGGTTCGATCCCGACCCTGACGCCTGCTGCTGTGCATTTGGAGTTTGCGGGTTCTCTCTCTCGTCATCGTCATCATCATCACGGTGGCTAGGAGATGTTAACTACCTCGCCTGGTGTACAGGAGGTCGTGGGTTCGATCTTGACCCTGACGCCTGCTGCTGTATATTTGGAGTTTGCGGTGTTTTTCTCTCATCATCATCACGTTGGCTAGAATATGTTAACTACCTCGCTTGGTATGCAGGAGGTCGTGGGTTCGATCCCGACCCTGACGCCTGCTGCTGTATATTTGGAGTTTGCGGTGTTTTTCTCTCATCATCATCATCATCACGGTGGCTAGGAGATGTCAACTACCTCGCCTGGTATGCAGGAGGTCGTGGGTTCGATCCCGACCCTGACGCCTGCTGCTGTATATTTGGAGTTTTTTCTCCGGGTCGTCCGGCTGCTATACATTTCCACGTGATAATCCACTTTATCATTTGTGACCAGGTCGCTTCTGAAAAAGAACTATGTATATACATAGCTCAGTAGGCCTTACCTGGACAAATAAAAAGGTAATGCACAATTATAGCTAACGCCGCAGCAGACGCGTTGCTTTGCGCAGCACGTGACCGCAGCGACTCTACACGTGACGTGGCCAACCACGCGTGATTCAAACGCTGCGGAGGTAGCAGCGAGGGGGGGGGGGGGTTGGTGGACCACCGCACTGATGTTGCGGAGCCAGGCTACGGCGGAGAGGGTGTGACGGCCCCGTGCACGTTTGAAGGCATCGGAGGCTCCACATGGTCTGTGAGTTGTCCTGGGCCCCCCAACACCCCCCCCCCCCCATGGACGGCCCCATGCAAAACTCACCTAAACTAAACTAAATTCACCTATTATTTTTCGATTTAAAGCTTTCGTGACTGCAGGGATTCATCTTCTTGGTTTTATCGGTAAAGTCACGTAGAAGTGAAATAATAAAATAATAAAAATAAAACATAATAAAATAATTCTCACAAGAAAATAATAAAAATTAAACATAATAAAATAATTCTCACAATAATTATTTTATTATGTTTAATTTTTATTATTTTATTATTTCCCCCTTTTTTTTAACCAGGAACGGCCAACTGAGCTATAGAGTTATTTTCAAAAAGCGACCTGCCCACCGCAAACGAGAGCTCCACGAAGTGGCTTATCACGTGAGAAATATGGAGCGGCGGTCACAATGTAACGCGTGGATTTGGCGTCGAGATGGAGCCGTACCCCGACTCGCCAGGAGACGGCGGTACAGCAAAGCGTCAATTGCCGACTCCAACCTGTCCCGTCTGGACCCCGTGGATATTCTCAGAGTCCTCCGTTTGCCTCTCACGGGCAGAGCATTGAATCAGTTGGCCCGATAACATCGTGACATATAAAGGACCACACACAGTGTGATTCCTGGATAAGTTGAGTTTTGTTTCTGTTAACTGTGCAAGTGCATCACTGCCGTTGCAGTAGCATCATCGTCACGAAATTATCGATAATAATCCATCGTCATCATCATAATCAATGGTCCACCATCCTCATTAATAATCCATCGGCCTAAGTCCTTCGTTAACAATAATATGTCATCGTCCTTATTTCAAGATCACCATCGTAGAGACAGAATCATCCTGAATTTCGATTTAAAGTTTTCGTGATTGCAGGGATTCAGAATTCTTGGTTCTATCGGTAAAGTCACGTAGAAGGGAAATTATAAAATAATAAAAATAAAACTATTACATTCTCACGACGTTTCGATTGCAGCACAAGCAATCATCATCAGGTGTGAAAACCACAGCAAGAAAAAAAACGCCAGTTAAAAAAAAAATTTGGTGTGGTTTTCACACCTGATGATGATTGCTTGTGTTGCAATCGAAACGTCGTGCGAATTTCATTGTTTTATTTTTATTATTTTATTACTTCCCTTCTACGTGACTTTACCGAAAGAACTAAGAATAAGAATCATCCTGATTTATAAATCGTCGTTTTGATTTTAACAGTCCATTATAAAAAATAAAACAATCATCATCTATAAACCATCATCGTAATCCAAAGAGCATCATCTTAACATCATCACAAAATCATCATCACCATCATCATTCAAATTCAGACATCGTATCGTGGTGGTCTTGGGAGTTAATTAAAAACACGACACGGTTACTGAGTGCAGAACAAGAAGCCCAAAATGCCAAGGGGGCCAGCCACACACAGCACTGTAACGCGTCTCTTGAATTGAGCGAGGTTATTAGTGTTGTTGTTGTTATTTTAAGAACTTGGGAACAAGAGGCGGCGGTGATGGGAGAGGGAGTTCCAATGTGCGGCAAAGTGACGGGAAAAGGCAGAGAGAGAGAAGTGAAGTGACCTGCAGCTTAGTGAGTGAGTGGATTGGTGAGTGGGTGAGTGAGTGGCTGAGTGAGTGGTTGAGTGAGTGGTTGAGTGAGTGGCTGAGTGAGTGGTTGAGTGAGTGGCTGAGTGAGTGAGTGGCTGAGTGAGTGGCTGAGTGAGTGGCTGAGTGAGTGGGTGAGTGAGCGGTTGAGTGAGTGGCTGAGTGGCTGAGTGGCTGAGTGAGTGGTTGAGTGAATGGCTGAGTGGCTGAGTGAGTGGTTGAGTGAGTTGTCGTGACCTCCAGTGCGCTGGTGGTTGCACAGAGTGTGGATGAGACGAAACGGTGAATGTCGAGCGGACCAAGTCCTCAACACGGTGTGGAGGAATCAGCGAGTGAAGTTCATTGGGACAGTAACACACGTGTCTGTCAATGTGTGCGTCATTGTGTGGATATGTCGTGGGGAGCGGTGGTGTAGCGGTTAGCGCGCTGCGATACGAACCTGGCGCCCGGGTTCGATTCCCGCTCACGGCCAACACCCAGTGACGATTATCTGAACCGTTCCTGGGACTCCCCTAGGTCGACTCAGCCTCAAATGAGTACCTGGTGCGGTGTGTAAACATAACCACTCGGGTTTACCACCACTACATTATGTGAGCAGCTCACAAATCCTTGAAAGATCTGAACACAGTTCTATCACTGAGCTCCTCCGGCAGACGAGGCCGCATTGGCTGGGTCACGTAGCCTGCATGCCCAGCCACCGCATGCCCACGCAGCTTCTGTTTGGCCGCATAGAGCGGAGGATGTGGAGCTGAGTGGACTTGCCGATGACTTGACCAGCGATGTCAAAATCGGCCTCTGCAGAGAAGACTCGTCAAGGACGCTCCTAGGCAGTTGGAGGCAGTCGCTTTCGGCAACAACAAAGGGTGGATGGAAGAGCGACGCTCACAACAACGAGCGGAGCGCTGGGCGTTTAAAACGCAGCAAGTTGGTATAGTGGGGAGAATAGGTAGCGCATCTGCCAGTCATCTCAGTAAGTCAACCCATGGCACCTGGGTCTGTGTGTTGTAACCCGCCAGCAGAGAGGGCCTTCCATAATTCACGTGATGGTATCAAAGTGCACCTAGCCTGGCACACGCGCTGTGGTAACGTCACCATAGCTTAGTGGCGAACGGCGGCTGCATTTTTTTTGTGTCACCGTTAGCATTGTGCCTGTATTGTGTGTATGTATGATGTGTGTATGCTTTATGTGTGTATGTAGTATGTGTGTATTGTGTATGTATTATGTGTGCCTGTATTATGTGCAGATGTTTTTGTGTGTATGTATGTATCATGTGTGTATGTTTATGCGTGTATGTATGCATTGTGTATGTATTATGCGTATCTATTGTGTGTGTATGTTTCTGTGTGTATGTGTCTGTGTGTATGTTTATGTGTGTATGTATGTATTATGTGTATGTATATGTGTGTATGTGTGTGTATGTATGTTTAGTTTATTTATTTAACATCTATTTCGACCACGTAGTTCGTGAAGCCTTCGATGGCTGTTATTTCCATCTGGTAATTTCCATCTGGTACAGACACAATGGGAGGCTGATCGATGCCCGGTGCGGTCAAGGGATGGCTCCCTATTGCTCAACCACGTTATGTATGCCGATGATATGGTAATTGCTGCTCACTCAGAGGAAGAGTTGGAGGCGCTGCTGCAGAACCTGGAGCTTGCCACTAAGAAGTGGGGCCTTACCATCAAAACTAAGCACCTGCCTGGGTATTTTTACCATCGGACACTCCACCCCCACAACTCCCAATTGGTGATGGGGCAGTTGTGGAGAGAGTGGAGAGTTTCCCATACCTGAGCAGTGTGCTCATGACCGGCTCCGGGTTGACAGCAGAGGTCTCACTCCGAATCAGTTGAGCGGCATCTTTTCATCGGTTGCATAACGCTGTGTGGAAGCTACCTGGTCTGTCGCTCCGCACGAAGCTTCAGGTCTTCTCGGCCACGGTCATTCCCTTCCTTCTCTACGCTTGCGAAACGTGGACACCCCTAATGGAACATCTTCGCCGGTTAGAAACATTTAGGCTGGCCTGCCTACGATCCATCCTGGTTTTCACCAGGCTGGATTGTTTAAGGAGCTCACAAATCTTTGAAAGATGTGAACAAAGTCCCATCGGTGAGCTCCTCCGGCAGGCAAGGCTGCATTGGCTGGGTCATGTAGCCCGCATACCCAGCCACCGCATGCCCAAACAGCTTTTGTTCGGCAGGATCGAGGGGGCTAAACGAGCGCGGCACGGGCTAGAGAAGAGATGGAGTGATGTGGTACAGGAGGATGTGGAGCTGAGTGGACTGGTACCAGCGGTGGCAAGATCGGCCTCTGTGGAGGAGGCTCGTGAAGGACGCTACTGGCCAGTTGGAGGCAGTCGCCCTCCAACAACAACAGAGGGCAGAGGAGCGACGCTCACAACAACGAGCGGAGCGCCGGGTGGCTAAAGTACAGCAAGTTGGCACAGTAGGGGGCACAGGTGGTGCATCAGCCAGTCATCTCGGTCATCTCAGTCAGTCGACCCGTGGCACCTGGATATGCCCCGTTACCTCCTGCCAGCGGGCGTTCGACACTTCACGTGGCCTCAACGTGCACATAGCCTGGCACAAGCGTCGTGGTGACGACACCGCGACTTAGTGGCGAATGGCAGTTTTTGTTGTGTATGTTTATGTGTGTATGTTTATGTGTAGTGGTTAGCGCGCGGGGAGCGGTAGTGTAGTGGTTAGCGCGCTGCACTACGAACCTGGCGACCCGGGTTCGATTCCCGATCACGGCAAACACCAGTGACGATTTTCTGATACCGGTCCTGGGCCTCCCCTAGGTCGACTCAGCCTCAAATGAGTACCTGGTGCGGTGTGTAAACATCACTGCTAGGGAGACAAAGGCGGTCGGGCGTGGTGCTGGCCACCCACCCCTCGTGTACCGTTCCGGCCTTCATAAGTGCTCGCTAACAGCACTTGCCCCTACAGTCTGTTAAGGCTGTACGGGGGATCTTTATTTTATGTTAGCGGCCGCGCGTGGTGCTGGCCACCCCTCCCCCTCGTGTGCCGTCACGGCCTTCATAGGTGCTCGCCAACAGCACTTGCCCGTGACTGTCTCTTTAGGCTATACGGGGAACCTTCGTCTATATTTGGGCGTAACACATTTCTTAACCAGTACCGGGCCTCACCTAGGTCGACTCAGCCTGAAATGAGTACCTGGTGCATTGGTGTGTAAACATCAACATTGCTGAGACAAAGGCGTTGTCCTGGCCAGAACACCGCCTGATCGCACGTGTCACCAACAATTTTGTTTTATATTCTTGGTTCTTTCGGTAAAGTCACGTAGAAGGGAAATAATAAAATAGAATTGTTTTTATATTTGTATTATTTTATTCTTTCCCTTCTACGTGACTTTACCGAAAGAACCAAGAATATGAATCCCTGCAGTCACGAAAGCTTTAAATCAAAAATTTGTTTTAATAAAGGATGCTTCAATAAAATGTTAACACTCACACGGGACTCTCGTTTTTAATGGTTAAAAGAACGGAGAATACACTGCAGCATGATAACAAATTTACATTAATAGCTTCAAAGAGTCTCCAATTGTTCGCCATCATTGTCAACGCGCGCCTGGAATCTTCTCCAGGTGGTCTCCAGAGCCCGGAGGAGGCACATTTTCTTGTGGTGTTGCTGTAAATTCTCGTGAGTGTTAACATTGTTTTGAAGCACCCCCCTGTGCATCGGGCTGTGATGGTAGCGCCTCTAGTGGCTGTAGAGGGGACGGGAATACTCATGGGTGGAAATAAGTATAACCCATAAAAACAAAGTTTTTCACTATAAATCCTTTATATGCGTGGCGGCTAGAGTCCTCTCGTCCTCTGGCCTGAGATGGCTGCCACCTATGGGTCAGATGATTGTCTGCCAGTAGTAAGCAATTGGTAATTAAATATTTAATTTGTTTTCCCTAAACAGTGTAAAATTTTGGAAAAAAAATTTCATGAACATTAATTGTCTCGCACAACGAGTCTGTGTGCAAAATGTCAGCTCGATTGGATCACGGGACGTGGGTTAAAAAACGACCGAAAGATTTGCACGGTCGTAAGCAAGCACGCAAGCACGCAAGCAAGCAAGCAAGCGAACTTAATATAAAGGATTTAAAAACCCGATTATTCCAGCGGCAGGCATCGGGTTTTTTCTTTAATACAATGAAACCCGATTTCGGGTTTAATGAATACGAAACTCTGATCCAAGGCTTCGGCTGCTTCCTCGTCGGTGCTGCTGTCGTAGTCGTGGCCGTCGGGCACGGGGTAGTCGTAGAATGCGGCGGGCAGGTTGGTCGTGATGAACACGAGCTTCTCCTCCACAATCGTGGGCGCCAGTGAGTTCCTTAGCTTGGAATGGATGAAGCCCATCGTTGAGAAGTTGGCGAAGTGCGGTTCTGCAATTAGAACCAATTAAACCGGATTTCTCCCAATCTCAGATGATCGGGTTTAATATAAAAATACAATTAAACCCGATTGTAAAAAACCCGACTGTGCCACCTTTGGGAATAATCCGTGAGATGGAATCGGAATTAAAACTCGCATCGATTCTCAAGCACGCGTCAGTCTAAAATGATGATGATCATCATCATCATCGTCGCCATCGGCAATGGTCAATTATCGACTGGACGTTCAAAATTAAAGGGTGTGAGTGGCCAACACCACGCCTGGCCGCCTTTGTCTCCCCCCGTGCCACTGTTTACGCATTGCACCAGGTAGTCATTTGAGTCTGAGTCGACCTAGGGGGAAGGCCCAGCAGGACAGGTTCGGATAAAGCGTCACCGGTGTTAGTGAATCTAAATATTTATATATACCGGAGGTATCCGATGAGCTATGAAGCTGTTTTTTTACAGCTATCCAGAAGGGGCACGCTGTCAGAATGTAACACAAAAACAAGATACGAGTACAAATTACAGGTAAGATAAACAAATCACTTAAAAAATATACACAAGTAAAACGAATCTATTTTTTTAAATCGTACTAGGTAAGATCCACTGAGCCATTAGCTTCTTTTTCAGAAGCGACCTGGCCACAAATGATAGCTCGACGGGGAGTGTCTCATCGTCAATGTGGAAATCCACAGCGGCAAAATAAATAATCGAAATAATGTGTACGCGTGTTTCGTGTGGCCGTGAGCGCGAATCGAACTCGGGTCGCCCGGTTGGCTACGGTAGCGCGGTGCGTCAACCACTGCGCCACCGCTCCCCCAACTCACCCACCCCACACCCCTCCACGTACCGTGCGTCTCACCAACCACGCGAACATCCGGACCGTGGTTCGTGTCGTGGGGCTGGTTCCGGACAAGATAACCCCCCACTCAGCGTCCTAACCACTGCACCACCGCTCCCCCCACTCACCCTCCCCCCCTTCCGTAGGGCGTGCGTCCCACGAACCACGCGACCATCCGGACCGTGGTTCGTGTCGTGGGGCTGGTGCCGGACAAGATAGCCCCCCACTCAGCGTCCTAACCACTGCACCACCGCTCCCCACACCCCCCCCACCCCTCCGTAGGGCGTGCGTCCCACGAACCACGCGACCATCCAGAGCGTGATGCGTGCAGTGGGACTCGTGCCTGGGCTGCCGGGGCCGTGCTGCGTGCCGGACAAGATGACGCCGCTCAGCATCCTCTACGTGGACCAGGCGGACAGCGTGGTCCTCAAACTCTACCCCAACATGTCCGTCGAGTCGTGCGCCTGCAGATAGCCGGGCCTCCGACGCCCCGGCGACAACACAGAGGGAGATGGGTGGGGGGGGGGCGAAGGGGGGAGTCCATATTCTTGGGGGTCAGAGAAGAGGAGTGGCGGGGGGGAGGAGGGGATACGAATTGTTGGGGGGGGGGTCAAACCCCCGGACTTTCCCAAACATCTCTCGCTCTCTGTGACAGCGCTTCACATCGGCACCTCTCAGGGGGAGACGCGAGACAGCCAGCAGGTGGGTGAAGGTGGGGGGGTGAGCAATAGGGGGCACGGGTAGTAAAGGGGGGCCCTTGGGGGTGGTGGTGGGGGGCACGTGGCGAGGCCACGCGGACACCGGAGGCGTCGCTGCATCTCTTCGGATCTGATGCTCGTGTTGGCCCCGTGTTAGAGGGCCCAACTCACGAGACAAACATCAGCATCAGCAGCATCAGCAGCATCAGCTTGTGCAGTGGCGAGGCGTGTCAGTGGAACGATGCGGCGAGAGGGACACTCAGGAGGGAGGTGTGAGAGAGGGAAAGGAAGCGGGGCGGGTAGTCGACGGGATGACGAGAGAGGGGAGGGGATGGGTGGGGATGAGAGGGGATGGGTGGGGATGAGAGGGGAGAGGATGAAGAGGGAAAGGGCGTGGAGTGGGTAGAGAAGAGTGATTAAAGAAGAGGGGAGAGGAGAGAGAGGCAATGGGAGAGGCAAGGGGAGATCTTCCGCTCAGACCGCGCCTACAAGATCCGCTCATTGGGACCCGAGCCCCCCCACCACCACAAGGGTGGGGGCTTTGGGTAGCGGCAGACGCCAGGACCCCCCGCAAGGGATAAACACGTGCAGCGAATTAAGTCGCTTACTCATCACCCACCCGGGGGGTGGGTGCGGGGCTGGGGGGGTGGGGGCTCTTACAACTGATGATGATGATTCTCTCGAGGACGTCTTGATGAGGATCGCTCCACGCTGGGTGGTCGTCACCCTCATTAACGACTCGTGGTGATGATGGATGACTCAGCAGCAGCAGCATCAGCAGCATCATCAGCAGCATCAGCAGCATCATCAGCATCATCAGCAGCATCAGCATCAGCATCATCAGCAGCATCAACAGCATCAGCAGCAGCATCATCAGCATCAGCAGCAGCATCAGCAGCATCATCAGCATCAGCAGCATCATCAGCAGCATCATCAGCAGCAGCATCATCAGCAGCATCAGCAGCAGCAGCAGCATCATCAGCATCATCAGCAGCATCAGCAGCAGCATCATCAGCAGCATCAACAGCATCAGCAGCAGCATCATCAGCATCAGCAGCAGCATCAGCAGCATCATCAGCATCAGCAGCATCAGCAGCATCATCAGCAGCATCATCAGCAGCATCAGCAGCAGCATCATCAGCAGCATCATCAGCAGCACGCGCGCCGATGGATCGCGGCCGCTCAAGCTCACGGACCAATAGCGCCGCCACGTGGACGTGCGTGACACTAAAGAGTACTCCCCGCTCGCTTTAGCCGACGTGCGATGATGGGAGGTTGACGACGGGTGATGGACTCGGTGATGGAGAGTTGGTGGAGAGGGCAGGAGGATGCGAGCCCACCCTCTCCCCCTTCACCCCCCCCCCAACCTTCCACGTGGGTGAACTATTCAGCAAGGGTCGCGTGGATCGATCTAACACCATCAACGCACCTCGCCATCGCTTCCTTCCTTCTGCCAGGTCTCAAGAGTCGTCGAACAGTCGACACCAGACGGGACCTTCACTGTCTGTTCTTACAGTCTCATCAGCAGCAACAGCATCGTCAGCATCAGCAGTAGCAGCAGCGTCACGCGTAACTGCATCCTCCGCTCAGATAATTAAGGACGGATCATTAAAGGACCACGTCACGCCAGCTGGAGGGTGACGTCACGCGGCGCGCGCTGATTCGTCCCTGCGATAGGAGGGGGGGTCTGTGACGTCTACAACAAACCGCGTGCTTTGTCACGTGCACGCGCGCGGCGTCGACGCTAATTATTAATAATAGAAAATAATACTGATTATGAATATTGTTGTTACTATTATATTTTGTTTGTTATTAACGCCGTTATCTCTGTTGTGATATCGTTAATGGTCTACGTTGTATTATTGTTATTACTTAGCATTTGTAAAGCGACGTCGTGTGCCATTTTATGGCGTGATATCGATTCGCCCGCTAGCGATTAGATTAATTGTCACGCGTCGCGCCCGATAATCGATCCGTGAATCGATTATATTTTTGGCCAAGGCTATTTTTTATATCGTGACCGCGGGGTTAGGACGGTTAAATCACATAGGGCGTCAACTTATAATTATAATCGGATAGGATAACATAGCAGGCTAGTCTCAGTGTGTGTGTCTTACGGACAGAATACACGCAGTACATACAGTACACGCACATATATATACAAGACAAAGATCCCCCGTACAGCCTTAATAGACTATATGAGCAAGTGCTATTAGCACCTATGAAGGCTGGAACGGCACACGAAGGGGTGGGTGGCTAGCACCACTCCCGGACACCTTTGTCTCCCTAGTGGCGATATTCACACATCGCACCAGGTACTCGTTTGAGGCTGAGTCGACCGAGGGGGGAGAGGCCCACGAGCGATTCAAATGATCGTCGCCGGCGTTGGCCGTGAGCGGGAATCGAACTCGGGTGGCCGGGTTCGTTGCACGGCGCGCTAACCGCTACACCACCGCTCCCCTTATGTACACATACACACGTACATATCTATACACATACACACGTACATATCTGTACACATACACACGTACACATCTGTACACATTGCTCTGTCTCCTTGTTGCAAATATTCCACTGAGTCTCCCAGTCCTGTCTCTCGTCGCCACGTTCTTGCTGACCGATGTTTCCGAGATCCCTAAAGCGAACTCGTTGTCACGTGACATTCGTATTGCCAGGCCCGTCCATAGTAAGTGTGGGGGGGGGGTGCAGGAGCCCAGGGCAACTCACAAACCGTGGGGGGCCCCCAAACGCCTTCAAACTAATGGGGGGATATTTAACATCTGACTCCGTGACGCCAAAGCGTGGGACCACCCCCCTTCTCTCCCCGGGACCACCCGTCACCCCCCCCCCCAGGACCACCACCCAAAGCGCGGGGTCCGGGGCAGTCTCCCCGATTCGCCGTAACCCGAGTTTACGGCTCTGCTTGTCGCCTGCCGTGTCCCTTGCCTTTCGACGTCACAGCGATGGCTGCGTCTCATACTCAACAAGCGATGCGCGTGGGACTACCAAGACAAAGATCCCCCCTATAGCCTGACACAGACTGTTGGGGCAAGTGCTGTCAACGAGCACCTATGAAGGCCGGCACGGTACGCGAGGGGCGGTGGGTGGCCAGCAACCACGCCCGGCCGCCTTTGTCTCCCTAGTGGCGATCTTTACGCACCGCGCCAGGTACTCGTTTGAGACTTGAGTCTACCTAGGGGAGGCCCAGGACCAGTGGAGATAATCGTCACTGGGTGTGGTCCGTGAGCGGGAATCGAACCCCGGGCCGCCAGGTTGATGGTGCGGTGCGCGAACCGCGACACCGCCGCTCCCCGCGTGTCGGACGCACGCGTCACGCACCACGCACACTCACACGCAGTCTCCGCGCACAGACCGATCCGAAACCCATCGGCATCGAATCTGAAGAACTGCGCACTGGCCCCACTCGTTCTGTCTGAGGTCCCCGTCATAGAAACGTCGAGCTTGGTTTGAAGCTCTCGTGACTGCCAGGAAGCCATGCTCTTTGGTTCTTTCGGTAAAGTCGCGTAGGGTAGAAAATTAAATAGATCACGACGTTTCGATCGCAACACAAGCAACCGTCATCAGGTGAGCAGACAAACCTCAGCGGTTCTCTCGCTGTCTTTGTCTCACCTGATGCGATCGAACCGTAGTGATCTATTAATTTTCTACCCACGTGATTTTACCGAAAGAACCAACGAGTCAACGTTGAGGCTGATTAGACGATCGGCGAATGGCGGGCAGCGGAGAGCAGCGGCCGTGCTCTGATGCACGAGGTTCCGCCGTCACTGGCGCTCATCAGCGCGATCGTGTCGCTCGCCGCTTGCAACGCGATCTGACGATGCACGCGCGGTCAGCGAATCTGAGTCGTCTTCACGATGGGATCTCGCGTGAGATATTTATGCCTTTGTCCGTCGCTGACGCCCGTGTCAAATACAATTTTCGGAAAAATATCATCTCGCGTGGCTGTGAATACGTTTTGGAGAAAGCGTGGGGCCTGGTTTGACTCCCTCCTCCACCCCCCCCTCCCCCCCCCCCCCCGACGTTTCGCTGGAGATGACATCCAGCATCAGAATGTCTTCACGTGTGAGAGCTGAAATCTTGAACATTCCTCTCTTTGTTCTTGGTTCTTTCGGTAAAGTCACGTAGAATGGAAATAATAAAATAATAAAAATTAAATATTATCAAATATTTTATTTTTATTATTTTATTACGTAGAATGGAAATAATAAAATAATAAAAATAAAATTATTTTAAATTTTTATTATTTTATTATTTCCATTCTACGTGACTTTACCGAAAGAATCAAGAAGATGAATCCCTGCAGTCACGAAAGCTTTAAATCGAAATTCCTCTCTTTCTCCTTCTCTGGAGTTGCGTCTGGAGTTGCTGAAAGTAAAACATCTATTTCTTTTTACTTGCCCCGCGGGTGGTGCGAGGCGTATGCAAAAAAAAAGTATTAATTTATATTTTATACCCCCTACACGATCGAACCCAAAGGAAACTAATGTTTAATCACCCCCCCTCCCCTCCCCTTCCCTGCTGACACGCACGCTGGCACTGTCATAACGTGAGCTCAGTGTTGTGGCTGTGATATTTTGGTAAATATTTTTTTGTGTAATGATTTTCAATATTTATTTTAAATTAAGGACTTGGCTTGCGAGAGCTTGAATGAATGAGCTTGGATGAATGCCTCATAGCCTACTCAGTGCTATGCATACCTAAGCACAAACATATATACAGTCCATTTATATTATTCCATATATTTCATATACTAGC